TTTATGCCCACTCTTGGAGCCTAGGGTCCAGTCTGCTCTTGTGCAGAGTCCAAGTTTAAAACGGAATGTTTCCATGAGCTCTGGTGAGGTCGTACCTTATCCCTTCTGCCTGAATTTTGCTAGGAGGTGACTCCTGCGGCACCTTCAGGCTTGGCAGTCGTAGTAAGCGCTGACACGACCTACTTAACAGATGGTTCTCTGTTACCAACATCTCTGCGTAGTGCCTGACGCCTTGAGTGGCCTGGGCCTCAGTTCCAACCTCCGTCCATTTACCCTTCCTTAAACACGTGGCCTCTTCCCCACTCCCACTCCAGCCTTTCCTCACAGCCTTCCCTCTATCTCCAAGGCCTCTCCTCCCCTTTGGCCACTTGGACGACTCAGCCTTCAAGACCTGCTCAAGGCTCTGGACAGGGGCCAGAAGACACAAATTTTAGTCTTTAACATACTAACATATAAGCCAAGGGGGTCAGACCAGATAATGTTGCACATCTTCCCCAACTCTGCTCTTCAAACACTCATTCATTCATTCAGCAAACATTGTCCAAGCAGAGTCAGGGGACGATCAGCCTTACAGCATGGAGTGGACGAGGAGTCCTATGGCAGCGCTCAGCACAGGCGGGCAGAAGTGGCTTCCCAGAGCAGGGCCACCTGCATTTCCCTGGGTTGAGCGGCCTTCTGTGCTGGAGCTCTGAGTCTGCAAAATAATCCCGGGTTTCCATTAGGGTCAACAGGATGCAGCTGCTTGGGGCCCAGCACAGAGCAGGTGATGGGTGAATTTCTACTGAGTCTAGCTGAGGAGGAAGGTGGAGTGGGGGTCTCCCTTCCCCTTCCTTCTTGTATTGCTGCCTTAATACCACCTCTGGGCCTTAAGGCTTGGTTGGGGGTAGGGGTATAGGCAGGAGGTCCCAGTTATTTGCTTCGTAATAATAACCCTGTGTGTGTCGCACCTACTGGGTGCCAGCATCGCGCTGGGCCCACATTTTGCAGAATCCTTGTGAGCTGCTCCATCCCTGTTTCCCAGGCTGGTACGCGGAGGCTGGGAGCAGTGAAGCGGCCTGTCCAGGCCCACGCACAGTCAGGATCGGAGTCTAGTTCAGTCTGGAGTGCTCTCAGCCTGAGGGAGAGCTCTCCACAGACTAAGCTGCCCTCTGTCGCCAGGGCTGGAGTTGCTCCTCCCCAGGCAGACTGAGCCCCTGGCTACCGGGCATCTGCCCTCTCCCCTGCCCTTCCCCATGTCCCTCCCTCATGGCTGGGCACATGGGAGGGCCCTGGAGGCTTAGCTTGCTTGACATTTCTAGAAGACCAAGGGGAGCCATGGTCACACAACAAACCAGGTGACCGGAGCTGGGGCCTCCAGGGATGGCGTGATCCGCAGGGTGGCTGGCCAAGCTGGGGAGAGAGAGTGCCTCTAGGACCACCACTCTCCCAGCCCATCCGTTTTCCTCCCTCACCTTTGAACCAGCTCTCTCCACCCTCCCTGCACCCAGTACCTCCAGGCCCATGGTCCCTCGTCTGCCCCATTGTGCAGCCTCTCAATCCGTCCCTAAACCTGCCTGTGTCGAGCTCCTGCTCTTCCACAGCTCCCATCTTCCTAAGATAAGGCTCACACTCCTTCTTGCCCTGGACTTGGGGCCACTTTATCCACTGGCATCACTCCCGGTCCCATCTGCCACCACTCAGTCTAGTGGGCTGTGCAGAGTCTACCACACGGACTCTCTTCTTGCCCCTGGGCCTTTGCACGTGCTCAGCCCCTTGCCTGTGTTAGCCTTTCCCTTTACCCGATAGTCATCTCTCGTGGCTAGATCAGGCATCACTTCTAGAAAGTCTTCTCTGGTCTTAGGCAAGGTTAGTCGTTCTCTGGGTCTCCATGGACTCTGTGCTGCTCCTTATCATGCTTCTGATGACTCCGAGATTGTAATAGTTCACACAATATGCCCCAGTGACCAGCACTATGCAATAAAAATGTAACGTGAGCCACAAGTTGGCAATGTAAAGTTTTCTAGGTGTTACAGTCAAAAGCAAAATCTAACAGATGAAATTAACTTTATTGAACACAGCATATTTGGACTCTTGTGGCCTGGTTTGACCTGGCTCATCCTGTGGCCAGATCACACATGACTGACCACACAATTTGAATCCCTGCCCTGGTGGCTTGAAAAACATGCCAGGTGCATGTGTGTGCATGCCCTAAATCCTGACAGGGTAGACACACGGAGAGAGGATTGCAGCATGACCACACCCCACCTGGGCATGCTTTTTTCCTCTCCTCATCTCTCTGTCTCTCTGGCAAGCATACTTACTCTCTGGGTCTCGTCAGACCCAACAGGTGACCTTGAGCCAAGTGGCAGGCCCATGGAATTGCTGGGACAATGGCACCCTTAGTACTTTTCTTGATGGGCTTGAGAGTGATAGGATCTTGTGCCCAGGAGGGCCCTAACTCTGTGCTCACGGGGCCTGACAAGTCAGGTGGGTCTGAATAAAAAAGATTAAAAATCAATGTGGTTTTAGGAGATAACTTTAATATTAATCTCTTTCTTTCTTTCTTTCTTTCTTTTTTTTTTTTTTTAAGATTTTTGTGATAGGGCACTAAAAAGAGACAGAGAGAAAATGAGAAATCATCCACAGGATGGCCACACCTCAATCCCTTCTCCTCCAGTCTCCTCCGGGGATTTTAGGCATGCACACACACATGCCCAGTGTGATTTTCAAGCTGCCGGGTTTGGGACTCGAGCTGTGGAGTTGACCTTAACCACCATGCCACGTGCTCACCCACTAATGTTAATCTTAATGAGGTGTTTCACATTTCTGACTCATGTGCACTAATTTTACACGCACAGCACATCTCACTGTGACCTAACTGCATTTCAAGTGCTCAACTGCACATGTGGCAGGTGGCTCTCAGCGTGACAGCGCAGCTGTGCACCTCTTAGGGCAGTAGCCAGGCCTGTCTTCCTTCTGGGTCCCTTGCACCCAGTCATGGTTGGCCCAGGAAGGGAGCTTAGCTTTGCCGCTCAGCAGCTGTTACTCTGGCCTACCCCTGGCCTCAGCTCCCTGCCTATAAAGTGGTGATGGTGACATGTTCAATACGGTTCAGGTGTTCGTACAAAGGCATTTATAGATAGGGTTTACAGATAGTTACAGATACAGAACTGAGGGTTCCGCCCAGGGATGCACGGGACACGTGGGGACTAGAACTCCTTCCCCTGGATCCTGCTTGGCCTCCTGCCCTGATAGAATTTGGGGCCTGGGAGTGTCCCCACACTTCCCATCCCAGAGCCTCAGTCTGCAATCAGCTGGGCTAGGAGGTGGGGAGTCTTGTTCTGTCTAATGCTGGCAGCTCCGGGGGCCACGGCAGCAGAGCTGCCATGGGAATGATGACCTGTAACCTGGCATTTGGTCAGCCAGTGGAGGCAGCAGGGGCGTGGCATGGCCAGCCTAGGGTCAGGCTGCTATGGGTATCATTTACTGCTGCTGACCGATCCCCAGGCCCAAAAGCTACATGTGTGCTGGCTCTCTGGTTCTGTTCCATGCCCGAGCCTGCTTAGGCCATGTGGACTTGTGGGTCAAATCTTCTCCGTTCCTTTCTCATCTGGGGCCTCATTCTCCTTGGATCCCTTTACATTGTCCCTCACGGGATTGACAGTGGCCATTGGTTCTGGGGTCCGCTGCCCCTCCAGCTGGAGGACAGGGATTTGAGCCAGTTCACCTGTGTCCCTAGTGCAGATGAGGCCTTGCCTCAGAGGGTTGTCTGAGCTAGAAGTGGCAAAGTCATGTCCGAAGCTCATGGCGGCCCCAGGGCTGCAGGCACCCACGGGTGGCTGCAGTGTCTGCAGCATCTTTTGCGGGGAGGTGGGCCTGGGCCAGGGAAGGGGTAGAAGCAGGGCATTCTGGATGGGCAGTGGTGTGGTTGGGGTGCAGATCCCGCCCATGGAGCAGGTGAGGCATGGTGATGCGCTAGCGTTTACTGACATTTACTGTGTGCGGTGTGTGTATGTATGTCACTCACCCCTCGCAGTATCCCAGGACAGTTCTGTTAGCATCTCCAGAGATGGCGGAAAGCCATGGTTTAGAGAGTTTCCAAACCCGCCCGAAGGAACACGGCTGAGAAAAGCCAGGCCGAGACCACAGCCCTGGCTGTCTGGCCCCAGAGCCCATCTTCCTAACCAGATATCACCAAGCCCTCCCAGGTACAGCTTCTCGTCAGACCCTCCCAACTGCTCCATGGGTCATGGGTCTGGTGCTGAGGAGAGAGACCCAGCGGAGGCTACTTGCTCAGTTATGAGTTATGTGCACACCTGGAGCCTGGGTAGCAGTTCAACGGGCGGCAGGGAGGGTGAGGCAGCTGGATCCCACATGGCTGCCAGTGTGGTTTGACTTCCAAACCTAGTGGCTTAAAAATCACACTGGGCATATGTGCGTGACCAGAACCCTGAGAATGGGGGGAGAGGAGATTGCAGTGCGGCTATCTCCTCTGGGGGGTGATTTCTCATTTTCTCTCTCTCTGGCTCTCTCTTGTGAGTTCAAGCACCCTATAGCAAACTAAAAAAGAGAGAGAAAATAATAGCGTGCCACTATGGTAGCTGCTGCACAAGTGAGAGTAGCGCCTCGCCTCGCCACCTGCTGGGTGTCAGGCGCTTTGCATCTCTTCTCACTGACTCCGCCCACCACCCTTGGGCTTAGGTATGTTATCTCCATTGTACCGGTGAGGAGACTGAGGCTCAGCAAGCTCAGAGCCTGCTAAGTGGTGGAGGTGGGCTCAGACCGGCCTGTGGGGCTTCAGAGTCCATGTACCTGAGCTATCTCCTGCCACAGCTTGTCACATCTTAGGGACACTGTCTAAGTGAGACCCTTTGAAGAACATCTAGGGACCCATGTGACCTAGAGCCAAGGGTAGGCCTGTGGGACTGCTGGGAAAATGGCACCCCAGCGCCTTCGTCAATGGGCCTGACAGTGACAGGGCCTTGTGGCCAGGAGGGCCTAGCTGCATGCCACAGTGCCTAACAGTCAGGTGGTCTGACTGGCACCTCCTGCAGGCACCATGGCCCAGAGCTGGGCCCTGCTCCTGCTGCTGTTGCCGCAGCAGCTGCATCTGGGCCCTGTGCTTGCCGTGAGGGCCCCGCCATTTGGCCGGAGCAGCGCCCACAGCCCGAGCCCAGAGGAGAACGAATTTGCGGAAGAGGAGCCAGTGCTGGTCCTGAGCCCCGAGGAGCCGAGGGCTGGTCCAGCCACCATCGACTGCCCCCGAGACTGTGCCTGCTCCCAGGAAGGCGTCGTGGACTGTGGCGGCATCGACCTGCGGGAGTTCCCGGGGGACTTGCCTGAGCACACCAACCACCTGTCCCTGCAGGTGAGACCAACACTGCACCAGCAGTCCCCAGGGCTGCCCTCCACGTTCGCGTTCCCGTCCCAGGACCCTCAATGTTCTTGGCTTCCTGTTCACTCAGAACCCCCAAGACTTGTGGCTCCCCATCCCCTGTGAGATGCTGGAGGTCACACTCTGGAGTCAGACTCTGGCCCTGCCCTGTGGCGCCCCTCCTGCTGCCCCAGCCCCAGAGCACCGTGAAGTTATAATCCGCTGTGTTCCTTCAGGGGAGCCTGGGCTGAGGCCCAGTCAGGAGAGTCAGGCGTGTCTGGAAATGGACACAGACCAGCCCTGCGGCCCACCCTCTGGACAGACAGTTGGGGGTGCTGTAGACACCATTGTTGGGCCAGGAAATCAGGGCACAGCAGACCCCATAGAGCATTCTGGGCTCAGAGGACAGCATGCGCTCCCCAGCTGAGGTATGAGCTGGAGTTTGGAACCTCTAGAAATGGGATGTAGGGTTCCAGGCTGGGGGGCTCAGAGTCTGGGGTAGCCCTGGAGGAGGAGGAGCTGTTACCCCGGTTTCCAGAGGAGATCAGGCTCAGTGTGGGACAGTGACCCAGCTACGGTGACATAACACTGCGGGTTCTGGGCTGCAGCTGCGGGAGCCCCAGGCCAGGGGAGTCAGTAGGGGAAAGTCAAGAGCTGGTTCACTCACTCCTTCATACATGAGCTGTCTGGGCACCCGCTCCACATCCCTGCTCTGTGTGTGGTACAGGGTATGTGGGGAGAACTCAGGCCTTGACCCTTGGGTGCTCATACTCAGCATGCGAGACAGAGACCTAAGCACAGAGGTATCAGGAATAGAACGACTCATGTTCCAGGGCCCTAAGCAGGTGCCTAATCCAGCCCCAGTTCAACCCTGGAAAGCTTCTGGAGGAGGTGGTATGTGTCCCAGTTTTAAAGTCTTCTGAGGGAAGTAGGAACTGCAGAGCCAAGAAGGAGAAGCAAAAGTAGCTTCTGACTTGGGAACAGCTCCGGACACCTGTCATCGGTGGGAGCAGTTCTGCCTGCCTGTGGATGTCCACGTGTGGGCTGCTCCGAAGCCGGATGCTCTGTGCACGTCACTGCTGTGCCCACAGTGTCCTTACCCAGGCCTGGCCCAGAGCCAGTACCCAGGGTCTGTCTACCATGGGAGAATCCCAAAGGAGGTACCCAGTGGGGGCTGTTCCCGGGGCCAGAGCTAAGGGAAGGGGCAGGCGCCCTGGGCAGCCCCCTCCAGGTGATGCTTGCCCACCCCATGCCCTCCGCATGCCCTCCTCCTCCCCAGAACAACCAGCTGGAGAAGATCTACCCCGAGGAGCTGTCTCGGCTGCACCGGCTGGAGACGCTGAACCTCCAGAACAACCGCCTGACCTCCCGAGGTGAGAGGCCATCCAGAGCCCAGGGTCAGGACACCAGGCAAGGACTCAGGGGCCCAGGGCTCGTGGGCCCAGGGCCCGTGGGCCCAGGGCCCGTGGGGAGAGCGTGGCCCTGCAGACCCTGAGTGAGGGAACAAGGCCTGGGAACACAGTAGGCTGCCTGAGAACCAGCCGTGCAAGGGGGAGGGGAGAGGGGTTCCTGGCATTGCCTGAAAGGCACCCGTGGGTATTTCTGAGACTGGGGAGACAGGTTGGGGGAGACTTCAGAGACTCGTAATTTCCCAGGACCTGACGAGAATCTTCAATTCACGGAGGTTCTTGAGAAGTGAAGAGTTGTAGAACCCTCAAGTTAAAAAAAAAATTCTGTATTTTTCTTCGGATGACAAAAATAACAGACACGTGATTAGGGTAGAACATTTGGAAAATAAAGTAGAACCCCCCCACCACCACCACCATTGTTCCGCTTGGAATGAGTCACTATTGACTTTTTGGTGTATTTCTTTCCATGTTTTGAAAAAGTAGCTTTTTGGAGGCATAGTTGATATGCTTTGGGATTTACCCAACGTAAATGTACAACCCGATGGGTTTTAGTAAATGTATACAATTGTGCATCGTCGCCACATCCCAGTCCAGCCGGTTCCGGGTCAGGTCACCCACAGCCCAGCTGCAGATAAATGACGCGCCATCACTGGCGTGGGCTCTGCGGCATTTCCGTTGCTGCTAAGCGCTCTCATGACCGTCCTTGCAGAGGCAGCAGGGTATTCCGTGGGGATCCTCCACGGTTTATGTAACTGTTCCCTCTCGCTAGATACTTGGGCGCGCCCCAGCCTCTGGGGGTCCTGGAGCTGGAACCGAGTATCAGGCTGTCCTCGCGGCTGGGGAAGAGCCCGCGGGCGTGCTCGCGGTGATAGCCCAGTCCTCCTACCGGATCTGTCGCGGGGGGGATCTCCGCAGGGGTTGGGGGTAGGGGCGGAGGCTGCAGACCCGCCCCTCGCAGCCATTCCTGGCTCCGCCCACCTGCCTGGGGATGGCTCTGACCCTTCCTGTCTTCCGCAGGGGAGCACCCCTTCCTGGCAGGGAAGGGTCAGGGTGGGTCTCCGTGTGCTGTGACCTCACCGGGATTATCCCGCTCCATTCCCGCAGCAGACCCCAAGCTGCTGGCTGCTCTGAACTCAGCCAGAAGGGAAATGGGGTGGGACTGATAGGGAGGGAATCTGAGTGGCAGGTTCGGGGAGTGCCCTCCTGGTCTTAGCAGTGGGGTGAGTGTGGGGTGGCCTGGAGGAGGGAGGCGCTCAGCGTGCTCCCCTGTAGCATCTCCTTCATCCAGGGCTCTGACTGGTGCCTGTCCTTTGAAGGGCTCCCGGAAGAGGCGTTCGAGCACCTGACCAACCTCAATTACCTGTACCTGGCCAACAACAAGGTGACCGGCTGGGGCAGGTTGGGTGTGCTTGCCCAGTCCTCCTGGTGCCGTCTTCTGCTGAGTTTCAGGGCCCCTCTGAGTGGCCCACCTGGCTCCTCTTGCTGCTCAGACATGGTCCTGGGTGGGTGGCTGGGTGGGGTGAGAGACTCAGACCTCACACTCCTCATTCAGAGGACCCAAGTGTATCAGACAATGAGGACAGAGGCCATGGCCTACAGGAGTATAGAGGAGGGGCACTTGAGGGGCTTCCTGGAAGAGGTGACCTTAGAGCAGGACTAACAGGAGAAAAGCCAGATTGTAGCCAGAAGCCTCTCTGGAGCTGGAGGGGTGGGAGGCGCTGTGGTAAAAGAGCCAGCATGAGTGAAAGCACAAAAGCTCTCAAGCTCAACGTATTTGGCATGCCCCAGGGCCCTTTTCCTGCTCCTCCTCTCTCTGAACTCTCCAGTGTGACCTAACTGTCCTCTCCCTGGCCCAGACCCGACCTCATTTGCATCACAGCCACATTCAAGTGCAGTCTCCAGGCCTTTCCAGGCCTCAGGCTTCAGACTCAGAGAGTGGCCGGCCCCCTTGGCCTCGCCACTAGATGTCTCATGGAAGAACTATTGCTTCCTGTCCCAGCCCCAACCTAGTCCTCCTTCGTCTCCCCATCTTGGGAAAGGGCACCAAGATGGGGCTGCTCTGGAGTGCGCCCTTGTTTGCCTCCCATTCTCAGAGCAGCCAGAGTGACCTTTAAACATCATGCCTGCTTCCACCCTGCCATCCACCCGGGACGAGCCCAGGAGATCAGGCAGGGCAGGGGCCACCTCTGACGGCTCTGAATGCCAGCTAAGGGCCAGGGGGAGCTGGAGAGATTTCATTTTTGTTTTATCAGAGGAGTGGGACAGTCTTATTTAAAAAAAAAAAAAAAAGAATTATTTATTTATTTTGTAATTTATCATTCTTTCATTTAACCAGAGAAAGAGGAGAGTGAGAAAGCAAGCTGTCAGGTCTGGGACTAGAATCGCTGTTGGCCATGTGGGAGAACAGTACTTTAACCGCCGTGCCACCACCGTTCCCTAGACAAGCTTCCTTTTAGAACGATGACCCTGGTTGCAGGGAGACCAGAGAAAGGGCCCAGGGGAGCAGCAGGCAGCAGATGAGAGCTGGTCTCCGCCTCTCCCCTGCCTTTCTGCCCCGACTCTTCCCTTTGCAGCTGACATTGGCACCCCGATTCCTGCCAAACGCCCTGATCAGCGTGGACTTTGCTGCCAACTATCTCACCAAGATCTATGGGCTCACCTTCGGCCAGAAGCCAAACTTGAGGTGAGAGGGGTGGCTCTGGGCGGGGCGAGGGATAGGGGAGGGGCTGAGACGGAGGCTATCCATGCTGTGCAGGGACAGACAGGCCCGGAGGAAGCACCCCCTGTGTGGTGAAGGGACCCCAGGGGCTGGAGGGGCACTGGATGCAGAAGGCTGAGGCCTAAAGGAAGAGGAGGACTTGGAGAAGGAGAAGACAAAGTGCTGTCTGCAGGGATTGTGGGGAGCTTGGTGAGGGGGACCCTCTCCCCATCATCTTCCACCAAGCTGAGCTGCCCTTCACCAGGGCTTCTTGGGAGGAGCGAGTGGTCCCAGCACAGCAGTGAGCGCAGGGCTGGGTGGGACTGCATGAGGGCTGCGGTGGAGCCTCTCTCCAGAAAGGAGGGCAGGCGAGACAACCCCAGGGCGCTTCTGTTCCTGACTCTGTCCTCTACTTGAAGCTCCGTCCCTGGGTCACCCACAGTGACCCTGGGTCCTAATCCCACAGATGAGGAGGCTGCACAGTAAGACGGAGCTGTGTCTTTCATGTCTGAATCTTGCTCCTGTCTTCTTGTATGTTACCCCGCCAGGGCGGGGGCTCAGTGGTTGTGCTCAGTGTCATTGTCACATCCTCAGAGTCTGGGACAGTTCTGCACACAGCACATACACTTATTTATTTTAAGAATCACTTATTTGGGGGCCAGCAGTTACATCACTGGACTCCCACATGGTCAACTGTGGTTTGAGCCCAGCCCCCATGACTTAAAACTCATGCTAGGAGTGTGTGTGTGCGCCCAAGATCCGGGGAGGACAATGGAAGAGAAGGGATTGCTGTGGCCATCCCTCATTGAGGGTGTGTGTGTGTGTGTGTGTGTGTGAGTTTTTGCTTTCCCACTTACTGTCTCTCTCTCTCTCTGGCAAGCACACACACCATAAGGCAAAAACTTCTTAAAATTAAAAACTATATATATTTATTTAATTTACTTATTAGTATTATTTTAATTTACTATAGGCTGCATGTGCTCACCAGAGAGAGAGAGAGAGAGAAGGTGAGAAAGCAAGCAGCTTGGTCAAGGGCTCAAACTGCAGTCAGCCATATGGGAATCCAACGCCTTAACTGCCACACTACCTGCTGGCCCACACACACTTTTTAATTATTTTTTTTGAGAGAGATTTTTGCTATAGAGTGTGTGGTCTCACCACAGAAAGACAGAGAGAAACAGAGAGACAGAAAGCTAGAAATCACCCTCCGGGGAGAATGGTCACGCCGCAATCCCTTCTCCTCCATTCTCCTCTCGGGATCTTGGGCACACATGCACATGTGGCTGGTGTGAGTTTAAGCCACCGGGTCTGGGACTCGAACCATGGTCGACTACATGGGAGTCCAGTGACATAGCCATTACACCAGCTGCTGGTCCCTCCCACACACTTTTTTGTTTTTGGAGAGGTTTTTGCTATAGGGCGCGTGTACTCACCAGAAAGAGAGAAAGAGACAGAAAGCAAGAAATCAACCCCCAGGGGGAATGGCCATACCACAATCCCTTCTCCTCCATTCTCCTCTCGGGATCTTGGGCACACATGCACATGTGGCTGGTGTGAGTTTAAGCCACCGGGTCTGGGACTCGAACCATGGTCGACTACATGGGAGTCCAGTGACATAGCCATTATGTCAACTGCTGGTCCCATTAAAAAAATTATTTTATTTAACTTTATTGATTTATTAATTTGTTTTAATTTGACCAGAGAGGGGCAGAGTGAGAGAGAGAGAGAAAGTGAGAAAGCAAGCCTCCAGGTCTGGGACTCAAACCTTGTTCGGCTATGTGAGAGTTTAGTGCCCTTAACAACCAGGCCACCTACTGGCCCCACTTTTTTTTTTTAAAGAGAGATTCTTGCTATAGGGCATACGTGCTTGCTGGAGAGACAGAAAGACAGAAGCAAGTAATCACCCCTCAGGGATGATGGCCATGCTGTAATCCCTTCACCTCCATTCTCCTCTCAGGATTTTGGGCATGCACGCACAGGCACCCAGTGTGAGTTTGAAACCTCCTGGTCCAGGACTCAAACCACAGTCAGCTACGTGGGAGTCCAGCGATGTAACCATTACACTATCTGCTGGGTCTCCACACTTACATTCATTATATAGTTGCTGAATGAATGAGGGTCACTTCCTCTGAGTGGCCCTGTCCTGGCAGACAGGAATAGGGCCCATCTTCAGGAAGTCCTGTGGAACTCAGAGCCAGGCTGTCGGGGGCTGACAAACAGGGATGAAGGTGCCCATTGGGAGGCACGAGCTTCAGGGCTGGAAACTGGAGAGGTGTGGAAGACCCAGATGGGCGTGAAGAAGTCCATTTCTACCACTAACTTGTGTGGTGGCCTCTTGTGGGACACTGCCCCTTCCAGTCCTTTGTTCCTGGACTGTGGGCGGGGTCTGAGGCGCTAACTCTTTGCCCTTGGTTAGGATGGGAGGAGAGCGCTCTGGGCCCACCCGATGCAGCCTGGACGGAGGCTTGGAGGGTCTCTGGGAGAGTTGGCTCAGGCTGGGGGGACCCAGGTGGAACGTGGCCCTCTGCCTTGCCTCCAGGTCTGTGTACCTGCACAACAACAAGCTGGCAGACGCCGGGCTGCCTGACAACATGTTCAACGGCTCCAGCAACGTCGAGATCCTCATCCTGTCCAGCAACTTCCTGCGTCACGTCCCTAAGCACCTGCCACCTGCCCTGTACAAGCTGCACCTTAAGGTGGGGCAGGGAGAGGGGAGAGCAGGCCCATGGCCAGAGCCCGAGAGCAGGAGCCTGTGGTGGGAGAGAGCCCAGGCCCAGTGTGGGGGGGAGGGGGCCACACAGCCCACAGTGGGGAAGCAGGCAGGAGTCTGGGCACCTGGCTTCTGGTGTGGGGATGTATGGGGCTGCCGGCACCATGCCAGGATACTCCAGGCCTGGGTCCCTCCTGGTGGCTCCCTGGATCGCCCTCCACACCTCATTCCACAACCCTGCTCTTGCTCTTCAGCGTCCCTCCCCTCCCCTCCCTACCTTTCCACCCCCCAGAACAACAAACTGGAGAAGATCCCTCCGGGGGCCTTCAGCGAGCTGAGCAGCCTGCGGGAGTTGTACCTGCAGAACAACTACCTGACTGACGAGGGCCTGGACAACGAGACCTTCTGGTGCGTCCCCACCTCGCCACGTCCTCGCTGTGACCGCTGCGCCTGGGAAGCTCCTCCAAGCTGCCCCACCAGCCCTCTCTCGCATATCCCCGCCACCTCCCTGGTCAGTTTCCCTGGGGAAGGGACATTGAGGCTGTGCCTCTGTTGACATTTCTGTCCCTAAGAACAAGCGGTGTGTTCAGGTGAGGCCTGCCAAGGGTCCAGTGAGTTGGGACTCAAACCTTGTTCGGCTATGTGAGAGTTTGCAGACTGGCGTCCTGGTACGAAATTCCGACTCAAGCATTGTCGAAGGCAAATATTTTGAGGTTTTCGGGGCCAGGGTAGCCATAAAAGGCTAGCAAGAGATAAAACAGTGGTCTTCGAATAAACTCCCTAGTTGTCGGAAACCAGGCTTGATCCTTTCTGCGCCAAGATAACATGGAGGCAGCTCAGTGAGAGGCTCAGAGAAGACCGAAGTTCCTGTCAGGGGGCGGCACAGCCAGGATGAATCAGAGACAGTTCCCCTGCTACCTCCCTTGGCCGGCCTCTGCCACCATTCTAATTCCCTCCCTCCAGGAAGCTCTCCAGCTTGGAGTACCTGGATCTGTCCAGCAACAACCTGTCACGGGTCCCGGCCGGCCTGCCTCGCAGCCTGGTACTGCTGCACCTGGAGAAGAACGCCATCCGCAGTGTAGACGCAGACGTGCTGACCCCCATCCGCAGCCTGGAGTACCTGCTGTTGCACAGTAACCAGCTGCGGGCGCCCGGCATCCACCCACTGGCCTTCCAGGGCCTCAAGAGGCTGCACACGGTGCACCTGTACAACAACGCCCTGGAGCGGGTGCCCAGCGGCCTGCCCCGCCGCGTGCGCACCCTCATGATCCTGCACAACCAGATCACGGGCATTGGCCGCAACGACTTCGCCACCACCTACTTCCTGGAGGAGCTCAACCTCAGCTACAACCGCATCACCAGCCCGCAGGTGCACCGCGACGCCTTCCGCAAACTGCGGCTGCTGCGCTCGCTGGACCTGTCCGGCAACCGCCTGCACACACTGTCGCCTGGGCTGCCCCGCAACGTGCACGTGCTCAAGGTCAAGCGCAATGAGCTGGCCGCCGTGGCGCGCGGGGCGCTGGCGGGCATGGCCCAGCTGCGAGAGCTCTACCTCACTGGCAACCGACTGCACAGCCGGGCTCTGGGCCCCCGGGTCTGGGCAGACCTCGCCCATCTGCAGGTAAGGAGGAGGAGGGGGAGAAGGCCATGGGGCATGGCATCTGGGTACTTCTGAGACCTGGGGAGGGGAGGGCAGGAGGGCTGGGCTGTGAGGGAGGTTCCTGCGGTGTGGCCAGGCTGCACTCACAGGCCTTCATGTATCTGCTGGGGAGACTTGGTAGGGGGAGGCTGGGCCTTAGGACAGGCTGTGCTGCACGCCTGGGTCAGCCCAGCAAGTCCAGGAGTGAAGGGCAGAGTACAGCAGCTATGGCCAGGTGGACCTCACCGCCTGCAAATATAGGCTTGAGGAGGGCTGTGGCAGTAAGGGGAGGTCATGGCAGCAGGCAGGGGGCCTCTGGTGCAGAAGGTGGCATGGTAGAGTTGAGGTCGCCCGCTGGCAGGTAGAGGGGTAGGTGCCTGGAGAAGGCTGGGCCCTGTGGTAGGTGGTAGGGAGGCATCCATCCAGGTTGCTGTCAGGACCCACCAGAGTGCAGGGGTGAGACCCAGAAGGTGAGGAAGGGTGTGGAGCAGAGCCCGTAGTAGAGGTGAGGGGAGGCAGCTGGTCCCACAGTGCTAGCTGCACCCTGTCCTCTACCTGACCACTCTGCTGAGTGCCAGCTGCCAGTGTCCAGCCACCTGTGCGTCCCCCTCGAGTGTTCCTCAGGACCTCCGTTTTCTTCTCCGTATCAGCTCCTCCTGCAGCCTTTTCTAACTGGCTGAAGGGACAGGACAGCGCCACCCAGGTGCTCATGGAACAACTGGAAGCTGCCTTTGACATCCCCTTTCATCACTTCCTGTCTCAACAGCCCATGGTTACCTAAGCTGCCCATCCCATCAGCACGCCTCTCAAGCTGCCCACTTCTCTCCATCCCGGGCTGCCTGCACCCCAGGCCAAGCCACCTGCTTTCTTGTCTGAACCCCAGTGTCCTCAGAGTTCTCCACTCCTGCACTCCATATGCTTGAAAAACATATGCCCACCTCATGCTCCTGCCCAGACCCTCTATGGCTCCCTATTGCCTTAGAACCCAGGCCAGACCCCTGGCATGACCTTCAAGGCCTGCATGGCCCTGCTCCCATGCAGGGCCTATGCCGGAAGCCTCTCCCAGCTTGTTCACTGGTGATGCCTGTTCATTCATTCATTCCACAGCCTGTGCTGATTCTCACCGTGGGCTAGACAGTTCTAGAACTGGGGACCCAGTCAGGAATGAGGCAGCTAGCCTTCTGAGGTGGATTCTTAGTACTCGGCACAGGTGTTCAGGTGTCACTTCCTCTAGGAAGCCCCCCATCCTCTCCACCAACCATGGGCAGGTAAGGTGCCTTCCTGGGATGAGTTTGGCCAGGGATGCCCATTAAGGGGAGGCAGGTTCTTCCTCACACTGTAGTTCTACTGGCATCATTCCT